AAGTCCGCGATCCTAAGAGTTCGACGCTGTTCGAGTATAATATTCTGTGTAAAATCAAACTAAAGTCTCGATAATATTTACTAAACAAAGTGGATATGGAGGGCTTCGATTCCTACCCTGTTACAGATTATAGTAAGAGGGGGAAAAATTCATAAAAATTCTGAAAATCGCTACAGAGATTACCAGTAGCTATAATAATTCACACAATAAGTTATAGCGAAATTTATTGCATATTTATGCCAATTGCCATGGCAACTGTTTACATAGATTCACATACATTCTCTTATATCAAGTAAAGAGCTTGGGCTACCCGTGGTATAGTTAAGTTATAGCAATTAAGACGATTTTTTTCAGTCCTCTATGTTGTTTTCTATCAAATTATAGTTATTTCATCACACTGTTTAACATAGTAAAATACTAAATAAACTKCGAAAATGTTACATATACTAAAACTAAGTTATTGCTTCTGTTGCTGCTGTTCCATCATAGATTAACTCTAGTTCTTTAAATATTTTGCTATTGCAGCTACTCTGCTTGGCTAGTCTCGTTTCACTTGGTGTGGATGTGAGATCTATAAAAGATCACGAAATAGAAATGTCAGTACTAGTCTTGACACAGTAAACAAATACGTTTAATAAATATAGCACATAGATGAAGTATGTCTTAATAGGAATATATTTCTTTGGAAGAGAGACTCCATTCTGAAAAACGCAAATTAAGTGGTTTCTCCATTTTACYACCTTATRCATCAGGCGCGAGGCGTGGACGTTTTGTCTGATATGACGCACATGCCCCCTGCGCCTGTACATCCCACTTAACCAATTAACAATTTTTCTTTTCCTGTTTTAGAACAATATTCATTACCTTTAATCATACGCACTTAGAGCTTGCTTTCCAGTACATTGTCCGGTGAGGTTTCTGCAATTTATGAAGAAAGCAAAAATAATACTTTTGGATACATAACTAAATACATAATTAAGATAATTTTCGTAATGTTGCATGCTACTTAGTATTTTCMTCCAAACATCCAACCTCCCTGTTCTGTTTCCGAGGTCACACATATCAGCACCGTTCAGACGTTTACCAGGCGTGCTTCTAATCTAGTTTCCTGCCGTGCATGGAATTTATGAGTCTAAATCARTCGGCATCTACTGATTATAGTGAGCTTAATAAACCTAACAAAATCCACAATTGTCAATGAATTYACAATGCGCAGTGGACGAGCTGCACGATAATTAAACKCCTATAATTTAGATTAGACGCGACAAACGGTTTATCATAGTTCTTTTAAGTGTATCTACAATCAAAATACCTTGTCCATTGTATATACACATTACATTGTTTTTGTATTCCAAAATTTCCCCCTCCTCGACCTACCTTCCCACCCCCCCTCTTGAGGAATGCTGCCCCTTATTTTGGATACTTTTGTTTCATGGAAGAGAAACTACTAGTTGGTTGAACTCTTTTTAAAGGCAACATTGTGTTTAGGGGGCTAAATCCATGTTATATAGTCCAAGAATTTTGGCAAAGATCGTAGATTTAGTAGGTCTKGACCTCACTCGAAACAATTTCTGATTGCATCGTTGTTAAAAGAACAATGACACTTTTTTTTCAAATTGTTTTCTCCTTTAGGCTTGAATAAGCCTTGGATTGCACCTTCCTAGAGGTGAAAGCCCGATAAATATAATATTGGTGTATATTGCGTCTCACATTATACGCTTAAAAAACTGTAATAATGTTTGTTTTGGCGATGTAGTACGTAAGGTGCATTACGTTTTTTCATCATTTGATTGTTTTAAGTAACGATTATGTCGTTATCGCGACACACTAAATTGCTTTTTATCGATTTAAAGAAGAGTGTGTCTGCATATTAATCTTTTTGTAACCAATCGATTTCTTTGCGGAAGGCGGTTGATTTAGAGTTTTTGATAAAATGCAACGATGACAAACGATATTCTCCATTACACAAAGAAACTTTTTCCCTCGAAATTAAAGTGAAACTACTTAAAATGATTCATTTAATATAAAAAAGTGTAAAGAACTAACCGGCGTCTTTTTTCCTTCCATTGATGTCTTGAACATTTTCTTCAAACGCTATATTTACATTCTCTGTTAAAAATATCAAAAATYACCAGAATTTTTTAGTTTTCGCACTTTCAAAATTTACAAGGGAATTAACTGGCTMAAGATGATTGCAAAAGAGTGCGAAGAACTAGCCTTCTTTGTTTCTTTCATCGTATTCTTGCTCCTTTTCTTCAAATGGGATATCTACATTCTCTGTTTAGTAATATTAAAGAAATATATTTTTTTTACATTTTCAAAGTTAAAGTTAAACTGATTGCAATGAAGAGTGCAAAGAACTAGCCTTCTTTGTTTCTTGCATCGTTTTCTTGCTCCTTTTCTTCAAACTGAATATGTACATTCCCTATTTGATAGGCAAAATATCACAATTTTGGTGTTAATCTGATCTAAAGAATAACATGACAGAAAATTGTCAGACAATTATGATGCAGCTAATCGGCTATGAATCCGATTGATGGAGGAGCCAAGGTGTTCTGTTCTTCTAAATAACTGTTCTTGTACGAATTTTTCCTTGGAAAGGGATTTTGAGATACATGGTTGACGCCCTTTCTTTAAAATAGTTTTGTTCCTCAGCCTGGCAAACGTTTTTAAGGTAAGAAAGTTCTCTATAGAGTGCACGTCACATAAGTATGAAACAATTCTTAATATGTATTGCTAAATATGATTTAGTTATCAACTAACTAAGAATTCAACAAAGCATAAACACAATGCCAATTATTTAAATTCCTTTGTACCATTGTTCTCAATTCTTAGTTAGTTGATAACTAATTCTTATTTAGCACTACATAGTTAAGAATTGTTTCATGCTTATGTGACTTGCACTCTAACGTTTTCATGGTCAAAAAAACGGCTTATATATTAGTTAGGAAATTTTTATTTTCCGGGCAAAAATTCTTAGAAAGTATCCCTTGCCTGGGTAGTWTTTTTCCTGAATTTCTCGCTGGCAACSAGTTATGACTTACAGCTGGCTGGGACATAAGAACAGATATATTTCTTCCAGGAACCCGTCGGCTCCTCCCAATTCTGCACATGCGAGCTGGCACATGTATGGAAAARCATTTGATGTAAAGATTATGTATATAAGTGTCCAAAATAATGTAAATTTGATGTAAATGATCTAAAAGGTTGCAAATTTGATGTAAATTTGATGTAAACATTTACATYATTTTGGACACTTACATAATATTTACAACAAATTTACAACCCTTTTTAATTAAAGTGCGGGATRATGTGGGAAAATTCTTTTTTTCTTTTCATTTGTTTTTSTTTTCAATAAAATTTTAATGTTAAAATTATTCAATCATTCATAAATCGTTCTGACCTTGAACAACCATCTCTTTATTCTTTAGTCGTCTTCGCTGCTTAAATTTCGATTTTAATATGGCTTTTACCTAATTAGACATAAACATACCACAAGGCAAAGAAGCTTAAGGCATGTATAATAAGAATAAGATACTATATTTTTTATGTGAATATTATGTGAATGTTTTTATTGTATGTTTCTGAATTCGTATTTATAAAGCTAAAACCAACAGAGAGGCATGCAATGACAATCTTCAACAGAACATTACTTATTTCAAGCATAAGTTTCCTCAATTTATAAAGTGATTTAATAATTTTGATTCTTTGTTTTCTCTCAATCCAGTACTGCTGGCATGGTCTTGGTTTCAAAAAGTCCACACTTCTGGACAAAAAAATATAGACAAACCGTTGCTTTTCCCCATATTTTTGCAGAATTTCCAATACATACACATCTTTATCATATAATTATCTATGAAATACCTATATTTCTCCATTACGTAAAATTGATATTTTCACTAGTGAAAATAACGCATTCTTCATCATCATCATCATCATCATTTATTATTCATTTCGACCACACAAGAATACAGGACATATTACAATATAATAGCTTAACGTGTGATAATTCAAGTTGAAATATAATTTTTTAAATTGATCAAAATAAAGGTACTCTTGGATGGTAGGCAACTCAAAAGGAAACCAAAGGCTTATATTTTTGAGCTACCTATTTGATTACAAGAGAGAATATCAAAGTATAATACAATAATTGGTGTAACAGCACAAAGGCAAGATGTTTACAAAAGCTGGACAAGATAAGATGTAGACTAATTAAGAATGTGTACAATATATATGTTTTATGTTTGATAGATTACATTTATATGAAATTAAATTATGAATACAAATTAAAATTACTTATATGACAATATTATTTGCTATTGCATGATATAAGTTAATCAGTAACTTACATTCTAGGTTTCTCTATATGGTGGAAGCAAGAAAAAATGGTATTTCACGATATAATTTGATTTCATATTTAATTATATGATAAACAGAATATTACATGGTCGCTTGGAGATACAAATTTTCAACAAACGAAGATAATATCCGTATCTTCGCGCGCCCATGTAATATCCTCTATTTGTCTTGATGTCGAAATATCAAAGAATAAAGTCATGTTTTCATTTTTTTTCTTAGTCTTAAAAGTGAGCCTCAAAACGCTTRAAAATATATATAGTTTATTTCATGGAAAGTGCAACGTACGGGATTTTATTCACGGGTAGTTGTTTATATCATACAACGAACGAGCGAGGAAGCGAGAAGTACTTGAAAATTACAAATGGCTATGGTGCTCCGCTATCACAGCTTGCCGTCATGTGACATCAGCTTTTTACATCGGCAACCAAGTTCATAAGCTTTAATATATTCGACGGAATTAAACATGGTTGCAAACTACAAGCTGAATGCTGCAGCCCTTTGGCTAGCGTTAACGTTTACACAATAAACAACCTTGTCGAACTCGTGAGTCAGTTCAGTTTTCCCGGATTTATCATAATTCACGGACCTGACACTGCTGCACCTAGTAATCTGGAATTAACTTCCGGGAAAGAATAATGCTTAGAATGACTCTTTTCTAAAGCAAAAATTTCGTGCAATGTCGTCTATATTCTCCTCTCWATAAGAATTTCTATTGATTTACACGCCTTTACTGAAGTGGGATTTTACCTGGTCATCTAAAACACAATGAAATATTGCGATCATGATACCCTAGAAGAAAAATACAAATACATTAACAGCGCATACCCTTCTCAATAAGTTTTTATTCCGTGCATACTGCTGCGAAACAGAACATTTACGTACCTGTGAAGAGTTTATAACGATGAAGATGTAAGCAAGAATCCAGTGTAAGTTTACTGTGTACCCGAAAAGCCACACCAAACCCAGCAGAGGAAGAAGAGCTGCAACACACTTAATGCATTTCCTGTTTATGGTAAAAAATRAAAAAAAATTCTCTTCAACTGGACTAACATCTAATTGAGCCTTTCCATCTTTTWCWACGTCTACTTTAATTGCTTGCATGTACTCCACGAGAAAATTGCMGTCTAAAACAAATCCATGAGGTCAATTAACTGAAAACAATTCACAAATGCGGACCAATTAAGAATACATAGTTAAACGAATTGCCAATGAACTAGGTGYTAGGAATCAGATAAGACGTGACTCAGCGTCTGAGCTAAGCCTAATGGAAACTACAGTATTGACACTTAGCTTCATTGTTTAGTGTTTAGTAKTTAGCTGACTAATAAGAAATCAATGGGTGTAAACCAATAGTCGCACGTCTTTTTCAAATTTTAGAAAAACCTATTTGAATAAAGKTCTTGTACAGGACGATTCTCCAAACAAAACTCAGCTTGTAAAGAGTTGATATTCATTCTGCTGCATATCCCTTTTATTATTCGATATGATTTACAAGCAAGAGTGCCCGCGCCATGCAGCGGACCAAGCGTGTGTGTACATGCTATGTTACTTTTAGGAAATCTCTTGGACACACCTTTTTGCTATCGGTTGYTTTTACTTCGAATTAGAGCATATTWCGTATGACTGTGCRAAAAACACGGTACGTCGTCCTGTGTCCATACCGTGCCGTAGCCGTGATGCATTGGAAAATCTTTACTTTCATTTGAAATCCTRGAAGGCGAGGTTCCGTGAMMRTGCCGTGTCCGTGTTGTGATCCGTGCTTTTACGCAGTCATACGAAATCCGCTCTAACAGCATTCCCTCCATTTCCTCTTCTTGTTTAAGATATGCATTTACTACGTACCTTGCTTTCTTCAGTTTATTGTCAGCAAATCGTTGAGACAGCTTTCCGTATGCAATATTCAAGAACACCACGAAAAGAACAAAGTTCACCTTGAATTGAAAGGAAGACTTTCGGTTTGAAAATGATTCCAGTGAATAGAAATAATTAGGGAGGCCAGGCCAGACAGCCTTTAGCATGACKTGTTTGATGTTGTGTGGGCTTCAACCGTCTTGKTATGATATTACTACACTTTCTTTTCACAGTCACCAATAAAAATAAAAATAATTAATAGAATTAGGTACCATTGTTGCCGGAAGATACTACCCTCCCCCCCATCCCCTCCCCCGGGAGAACTTTTTCCTTCAAGTCTGTAAGGTAACTCCTTGTAAGTTGTCTCAAAACGTTTGTTCAGAAAGTTCGATAAGCTAAACTGACTACAATGAGTCTATTGTATTTAATKCTTACATTTTCTTGAAGATTCTAGCTTATTAATTTTTTTAAAGTTTTACCAACAGTATGCCGAGTACTGGTCCATTGTATATCCAGAAGCCACCGTTCAACCAGCAACTGTGAAAGAATRTTTTCAAGAGCATTTCAAAAACATGTTTTTAGAAATATATTTTTCCCCTCGATATTGCACTGCATAATTGGTTTAAAATAGGTAAGAAATCATCCATAACATAAACATTTACTGATTACTTACAAGTTTCGTTTCACGGTGATTTCAATCTCCTGAGTACCACATTGGTAGACCTCGTGTTTCGTACTCATTTCGTATGTAGATGGTTGAATGGCAGCCGTGAAAACGAGAACGATCACTGGAAGTCCTGTAGCATATATGAATTATTTCTATTTTCTTGTTTAGCGSGTTATTTACTGTACATTTTAGACATATTGATAATTATTAATACCAACCATCGACAAACACACAATTTCGTACAATCAATCTAACGTACACCCTATTCTTTGGCCGGCTTCGCACAAACACACACTCACGCTGGTGTGTTCCTACCAATTTTCGGGAGTCCTTGTAAAWATTCGTAAAATTCAATACCCGCAAAAATAAGACACACAAATGTCCATGTACGTAAGGCAATTATTCGGCAAAAACTCGAAAATTAATTCCCCGCAAAATATGCCTSYTCCGATAACGCRAAATTACGTCCACGCRAAAATTATYACCAATTATAGTASACTGAATAAGATACAAGAATAATTCACCTACCCCATCCAATTATAGAGTGTATCAAGTATAGCTTTGTTACGACAAAGACTTTGATCAGCATGAAATACAGGTGAAGTCCCTCACACAGCATCCATGAGAAGACAGCTGTGTGAAAGTAGTGCTGCACTACTGCTAACATGCTGCATAGAATCTACATATATTGATGTTAAAATTTTTGAACATAATGTGGGGAAGTGAAAAGTGTTGAAAATAACACGTGATGGATAATATAAAGTTTGTGGGATGTAAATCCTTCGTTTTCAGGTTACGTCACAGCGGACATCTTGGAGGAACTTCAAAAAAGGATTTCTCATTAGTATCTATTGTTCATTCCTCCAACATGGCCKCCAGTCGTTTATCTTTTGAATCTTATTGGAATGAGTGAAAACAATCAATAAACATGATTATATACATACCCGATAGTTATTCCTTTTAGTGAAGAAAACATCAGCCATGTAAACAAAGTTTGCCAGGATAAGGGATACCATGAGACTTCGATGAACATAAAGTTTTTCTGCATTTCTTTGAGACTTCGCTCTTTCAAGGAAAAATGTAATCATTWATCTTTTTTGAAGCATTTCATTGTAATTATTGTTACACATTGTTTTGAATAAACATACTAGTCTCTGCAATGCATAATACAAATTTTCTATTCGTCTTATTCCCGAGGAAAATTAAAAACACATTAAATTTGAAGAGTTTAACTTTTGGTTTATTTAAACGAAYACATGAATACTTATCAAATGAATAAATCCCTTTAATTTTGARAARAAGTTTAAAAAAAGTTGCGTTCTTGTATGCACATGGACTTCAWTCGTCTCTTTTTTCACTTATACTACACAACTTCGATTTCTTGGTTGACTGAACACGTACCAAAGAATAGACAAAACAAGGTCCCGGGGAAACAGTATAGTGCTCTGGGTTCCCTATTTCATTAATTTTYATTTTATTATTATTTTTTACTAATTGGACTACCTGTTTTATGTTTCATCAAAGCTAACATATTTCAATATATGTTTACAATTATTTTGTTTCCCCAAAGACTCGTCTTCATTTTCGTTGAGCAAATCACTCAACCAGATTATCGATATTATTGAAATACTTGTAAAGTAAAAGGGCCATTTACTTTACTCTGTACAATATCACGATGGCTATACTCATRGCAACAGTCCCCAGAATAATCAAGCTGAGCTCCAAGTAAATCTGTGTCTTGTTGAGTACTGGTCGTGYAGAGATCCTTCTGGTAATTCTATTGTTAGTTTGGTTTAGCGGCTGAAAGCAAAATTAAAAAAATACACAGTCTAGGACTGCAAGTGGCTAGTGCTAGCAAGCAAAATATAGACTAAAAAATATAGTACTTCCTCTGGTTTCATGGTAACTGCATGTGGTACAAATTACAATCARGGATTGTCTGGATGCCTCATGAATAATTAATGAGTATGAGAACTTTTAAAAGATCGTTGGTTCGATTCTCGACTCGATCGCTTCTAAACAATTCTTTTTTTTTCCTTTTGTCGTTTTTTTTTGAAATATACTTATCATAGCCATGCTGTATACATTTGTTTTATTATTATTTTACACACAAGATCATACTTGAATAGCGCCTTGAACTGACGATCGAGGGTTCGATTCTCGACTCAAGCATCTTGTAGCCGATTCAATCTTTTTTCTTTTTTTTTAAGTTTAAAATATACTTGTCTCTGAGTATATGTAACGGGTGTATAGAAACATGCAACATGTACCAGTAGTACGTTTATATCTGAGTTATTAAAGCCTCCAGAACCCTTTAACTCGTTATTGTGACAATGTAGAATATGTAACTACCATCTAGCCCCATACTTCTAAATGACTTACATCGCGATAGAAATCCTTCGAACAGTTTTTCAGAAATTCCTTGTTTATCATAATGTCCTGTAAAATATAGGGAATTATCATTTTATACAGAGTGGGGATAGGAACTACATAATGATGAAAATTAAAACAAAAGATAAATTCATTTTCCAGAGGTGTCATTGGAGGATCCAGAACGTTACAAAAGGACTAAAATATGATAGATTTAGAATTACGAGATATTAAATTTTCTTTCAGATGTTCGCTGCTTTAGTTTCTTTTTCAGAATAAATACTATAAAGAATTTGGTTTTAAMTAAAATAAATTATTAGAATTTCTAAATCTATTTTTTCTATCTAGGGTAAGGGATGGTTGCTATGGACTGCGCAATAATTATCTGGGAGAAGATTTGTTTTGACATAAAAAGTAAAAAAGCGGAGAAGTTGATAAATATAACCCCTTCTTCCTCACAAAAGTTAATTATTTTGTTGATTCAGGTATTAATCCCTTTGAGATTAGTAAATCGATAGGGCCTAATTACACCACAAAAAGGTGGGCGAAGACCACGACTTTTCATGCTCAAGCTCATTGAACACGACCAAAGCGTTGAACACAGGAAAAAAATCACGCGCTTTAAAGGTTGTACATTTGATATAAATATGATGTAGGTGTCCAAAATTCTGTAAATTTAATGGAAATCATTTACATCAAATTTACAGAATTTTAGATACTTACATCATATTTGCATCAAATTGACAACCTTCAAAGCGCGCGATTTTTTCCAGTGGAACCGAGGCGTCAAGGTACAGTGGGCTTAAAAGAAAAGATCTGCGCTCAGTGTTCCTTGACGCCTCGGTTCAATTAATGCTTTGTTCKTTGTCAATCATAGGGGAAAGTCGTGAAATATTTATGCCAGAATTTATACCTTATTTGATCCGTTCGTTAGAAAATCACGTARCTCTACTGCTTTTAATTTCCATGACATGAAGTTTTTTGCCGTTTCCATAAGATTTCGGATGACATTATTATCTCTAATGACAAGAATAAAATTAATCAGTTTTCGAACAGAACAGAACATAATAGAACATAATAGAACATAATAGAACATAATAGAACATAATAGAACAGAACAGAACAGAACAGAACAGAGATAAAAACAAAAACTAAAAACAGACGAAAAACACAGCAACAAAGCAAGAAACAAACAAAGGCATAAATAAACAAAAATGTATAAAATAGCGGAATTAAAGCCATCTGTTATTTCTTGAGTGAAAGAAGAAGACATGACATTGCAACACATGATTTGAATTCGCAATCTAAGATACACTAGCTATTCGTCAAATGCATTTGAGATACATATAATAGCAAGCAAGAAATTGAAACCATTATATTGAACAATTAAAACTGTTGATCATACATACTTTGCGCCTATGAACTTCCATCCTCTTGAGTCGTTATAAGACTTTGAATTTCTCGGTGCTGTCCTAAGAAAATTTCTCATGGCCCAGAAGACACTTATTGTTTCCTAAAAAATAAAATATTATTTTAGATAGAAATTTTAAATTTGATCATCAAAGAGTTTGTAAGTTTCATGGTACATGTGAACTTGTTTTTGTTTTTTAAACAATCTCTTTTGACACATTGAATTGAAAGACCAAGACTTTCAATGAGACATGTTTCGTCTATTGACCTTTTCAATCATGGAAAACAAAAAACTAAGTTCGCATGTAGTTTTTTTTAGATACTTTAACACTTTGAAAAAATCCGATAAACGCATTCTCTTACTAAAGAACATCTCAACTYAATTCTTTCAATACTGGACATGCTGTAACTTACTTAGTAAATGTGCTGTTTATTCGTATGAAAACACTCATCGATCAAGTTTTTCTTCGAAAATGTTCTAAACACTTTAAAAGATTATTAAATATAACGAGTGTTTCATTTCATAAAACAAATAGATAAAATCGGCATGCTGCATTTTCACCGKCTGATGTATCAGAAGCGTCCAATCAGAAGCGCATATATAACATTTTTCAAAACGTAGCCAATCATAACAAAGAAAAATTGTAATCAAACAATGAGAAAGCTGCCTTCACAACAGTGGCTGAAGGCAAATTGAAGAGTTTATCAATGMATAGGAAAACARCAGTAGCTCAAGCAAAGTAAGACGAGTTGTTGCTCCAAGAGAATTGGATTTTYGTTTTCATGGAAAACATTTTTCGACTGCCTGACGTTCATAGTTCTGGGGTTGAACATCAGGCAAAATCTCAAAGAGCCGTGTTTGCATGTCTTACCAGGCCTACTCCGGGACCTAAAATCGCCGTAATTTAGGGCGATTGTAGGCGATTTTAAGCGATTTTAGGCGATTTTAGCAAAAATCACAAAAAAAAACCCACCTAAATCTAAGCCGATTTTCTGCGATTTTGGGCGATTTTAGGTGATTTTGGTCGATTTTAGGCGATGTTAGGTACCGGACTAGCCTAGTCCAGGACATGAAATCGCCGTAATTTTGGGTGATTATAGGCGATTTTAAGCGATTTTAGTCGATTTAAGGAAAAATCACCAAAAAACCCATCTAAAAATCTAAGGCGATTTACTGCGATTTTGGGCGATTTACTGCGATTTTGGGCGATTTTAGGCAATTTTAGGTCCCGGACTAGGCCTTCTTACCAGACAAGGTGGGACCAGACTATTATTTTAATGATATAGAAATAATGGAAWGTTATAGTGCTAGGAAAGAGSTT